TAAGTGTCCAAATACACATCACATGTATACACATAAATACATGTATATAAAAATGTCAAAAGTAGAACTAAGTGGAAGCAAAGAACAGTGACTCTGTAGTGGGTATCAGGCTGTGCCCTTCATGTTGTCCGACAGGTGAGACAATTATTTAAACTGCATATAAATCAAACTCTACCAGCTCTGCACAAGAAGACATATCCATACACTGAAACTGAGACAGAAACTATCTTTACTTGGTTTAGAAGAAACTGTAAGAAACTGACTATGTCAGAACCAAGTATTCTATTTGTCTGTAGTCACAACCAACAGTATTGTATTTACCGTACTGACAGCATGAAACATACAAATTGATTTCATTCGTGCTCTTTGACCTACATTAATCGGAGACACACTGTACGCTGTTCCAGTCAGACCACGTGGCTAATGTAACACGTGATGTGGTTAGACTGGAGCTGAGGTCATGTTCGCTGCAAATGTTATAATTCCTCACAGACGTCTCCTTTAAATTACACCTACTATAAACTAAAGCTGAAAACATAAGATTGTTTCGATGATATATTGAAGTCCAGTGTGCAGATTTGATATTTTGTTCTTTATGCAAGTCAATTAAAATCTTTGGTTTGTGGTCTGACTAGATTAGAAAGATGTCAGTGGTAAGATGTCAGCGTTAGCGTGGGTAAATCACAATTAGCCTTTGTTTTTAATAATTTTCCAATGGTTTACATCAATCAAAGAATAACTAACGGATTAACTGCCAGTAAAAAATGTTATTGCAACCAGTGAGGATCTAATTTAATCACTTATCAAAAGATCATGTCATAGCATTCATAAAGTGTCATTAGACCTCAGAGGCCTATCTACTATAACCCTAACATACCGATTTAGTTTTTTTTAAAGAAGCAATGTTAGAATTTCCACTTTTAAAAATGAAAATTTTAAGATAAATCATATGTCTGTCTGTAGATAAATCATAGTATTTTTTTTTTTTACTTTTTTATAAGCATAAAAGTTGAAACATTTCTCAAAAATGTAACAAATACTCTCTGTCACATGCAGACAACTAAAACATAGATCAGGACTGTCATATCTGTTTTTGGTATTTCGCCCCGAAAGTCATTATGTCACTTAACCTCTTCTGCTTTTTTAAGATGGGGGAAGTGAACAGAGCAGCCACCACAGCCTCGCGACAAACAACCATAACCTACAGACCAATGCACACAAGAGTCGCTTATGATTCACTAGTCTGATGTTGTTTATTTGGACTTTTCTTGCATGTGACATGGAAATTTGGTCCTAAATGATGCTTCATTAACAATTAGACTGGAATTTCAGGTTGTTAGGACCCTTTACACACACACACACACACATGAGATGATGAGATGAGATAGCCTTTATTTGTCAGTTGCAGGTCTTTTGCCCACAACCGAGATGACAGACCTTGCCGACCGTACATAGAATACAAACATCACATTGGGGAGACAGGTCAGGCTAGGTAGCGAGGAAAAAAACATTGAAATGTGTAACACAAAAGGATAAAACAGGAATGCACAGGTATCAACACACCATAACACAATAAACACAGACAAGCAACATGGGAAAGTGTTCCAGTGTGTACATTTAGTGAACTGCTGAACTGAACTTTTTAGAGCCACAAGACACTAAAGTGTGTTTGCGTGCCCTTTTCATTGTATAACGGGGATTAAATAAGCTAAAAGCTATTTTTTAAACATCAACATTTGACATACAAACATATTTAAATAATGTTTGAGAATAATATTTTTTATCAATATATTTGCCAAGAAAGTCCTAGTGGGCATCAGTGACTGGGTACTGGTATTGCAAACTATTATAACTGCATAAGATAGTTTCATAGGAGAGGTTATAACTACAGGTGAACATTACACAGTATTAAACACAGAATTCCTTATAGCTATAATGCTTTCGAAAAGTCTTGAACCACCTCTCATTTCTTTCTATTTTGCTTGGAAAATGGGAAGTAGTTTCAACAATTTATTCTGACATTTGCACACATAAATGAAAATACAGCATATCGGGCAATAATATATTTTGTGGAATTCTAACGAGCTTGATATTTGGTATGGACACCTTTACTCTTCAACACAGCCTGAACTCTCTTAGGCAAACTTTTGTGTCATTGAAGTGGTTTTTAGGAAGAGTTCTCCAGGCTTCTTGAAGGACATTCAAAGATCTTTATTGGATGTTGGCTGCCTTTTGTGCTGTTTGTCCAGTTTATCTTACACTGTTTCAATAAATTTAAGATCCAGGCTCTGAGGAGGCCAATCCATGACTGATAGTGCTCCACTGCATGCTTTTCAGTTCAATACTTGTGTAATTTGGCATACCTCAGCCTTTTACTCCTTGTTTCTCTTCATTAAGAATGATTTTTTGGCAGTCACCCTTCCACTGAGACCATTTCCGATGAGTCTCATTTGAAACTTAAGGACCACATGCATCTTTGAGGCCCTGTGTC